CATCAAAACACGAGGAGGTTTAAGGTCATTATTCAATCAACACAATCATACCGCAGGTGTGCATCACTTACAGCCAATTAGCATACAGAGGTGTCCGTGGTACCGCTAAACCATTTGGATTTTTTCCGGAAATCGGAGAAAGTATTTTACTAATATCTTCTTTTCGATGAATAATGGAGCCTGATTTACTTACACTCAACAGAATGAGACCCATCAACTTAATGTCCTTATAAATTTGTAAGAACTACGTGAGAACCTAATCGATTAATATAACATCATTCACAAACCATTCTAATGTTATGAAGCACGAAAAAGCATCATATAATTATTAACTAAAGCAACCCGGTGTTCCCTCAGTTTTTATTATTTTTGGCGTCCAATAGTGATCGATTTTTTTTCAATTCTGACTCAACAGTGTATGGGTAGTATGGTGACCGAAGCAAAGAGCACGACGAGTCCCACTAAGCGCTTGCCTCTATTTGCATACTAATCAGATTTTGTGATAGAGGTCAAATTCTCCTTCTTGAAGATATGCGCGCACGCACAAACATTCACTTGGCTTAGTCACGGTCATTTCCGCAAAAGCCTATCTCGCATGTTTGCAAGCTGGTCACGAGTTCGTTTGAGTCAGATTGTGACAAACGATAGCTGTGGAATAATGCATCCAGTTTTTTTTAATTTAACAAGTGATATCTAACCAAGACTGGGCTGTGAAATAAAATTAAAAAAACTAGTTTGGAAATCGTAAGAAGACAATCGCACTTGATTTCGGAACAAGAAGAACAAGAAGGAGAATAGGTGTCCCCGAAATCAGACTATTGCTTTCCCATTATTTACTACAAATCGGAAATCGACATCCATCCACTGTCAGTTATTGATTCTCAAAAAGAATTTATTTAGTTTGTGGATCAGAATCAGATCTTGTTTGAGTGAAAAACACCTGTAAAACGTGAGTGATGGCCACGCTGATGACGGCGCGTTGGAGGAGATAATACAAATGAAAAGGTAGAAGTATGTAGTACATTGAGATATCTGGCACTTAAAACTAAACATCACTATGGAGGCCCAAAGAGAAATTCGATGCAGTTTATTGGCACGCCTGTATGAGCATGAACTTAATCGTCGTGGATTTCTCGGCAACCCATAGCACTTGACGTCGCAGTCCTCCTGTCTAGAAGATCAAGGGATAGAACAAATCGAACGTGAAACAAATCTTACTGCGCTGCGTAGAACAGAAAGGACCAATTATACTAAACTAATCGACTTCAGGAGTTTGTTTAGTTGTTCTTTTAGAGAGAAATCAATCCAATATTTTACAAAAAATCAGTCAATCGTTAAATGTCCTCTGACGATGCAAAATAAAACTAAACAGCTTACATCGCACACACCTGTACCGTATCTTACGAGATGATGCTTACCTTGAGGCATATATTTGATCTAATTCTTTGAGTTACTATTCGTAATTTGAAGCCGAAATAAGATGAGCAACTAAACAGCTAACTGAAGAACATTATTCATTTTTTTACACACAAATTACAGGTCAAAGTAACAGGAACTTTCAGTTCGACAAAGTGAAACGTAACGTAAACAAAAAACCTCGCATGACCTACAGTTGAAAATCCGTGAACCGTACGTAAGACCACGATCATGCTTAGTTATTGTGTGCATGCACCTTATTGCTAAAACAATCTACAGCAAGGCCGGTGCTCATACAGCGATGATTGTGTAAGATTGAAACTATTGTTCATCATAGTAATTTAGTTTCTTTCCATTTTCGAGCATTTTAGATGGTCTTGAGAAGTCCCTTACGACCTTGGTGGGAGTTACATAGCATGAGAAATGCCAGAATAAAAAAAAACATGTACACATTAAGGTGGAATCAATTTTCCGCATAATCTGCTCAATCGAAAAACTGAGTGCAAACTGAACGGCTCATGGTGTCAATATGTCAAACGGTTGCACCTGAAGAAGAGATCAAGTTAAAAAAAGAATAGGTTTATGCATCCTGACAGGTGAGACGTCTGCATGAAAACTGCAACTGATTATTTTCCCCACATAGATGAATATGTCAAGTGATACTATAGTACAGCGGAACGGTGACATACGCATTCCTAGTTTTTTTCAATACAGTGAGTGCGCGTGTGTTTGTATAACAAAAACAGCTATGCCCGGGGCAAAAGACCAATCGTCTGGGCCGAAATGCGTATGACGTAAGACCTTGCATTAGGATCCATTATGCTCAAACGCTGTGAACCAATTAGTAGTTGTGTGGAAGATTTATGTCAACTAGTTGTGACTAGCACAGGCGATTTAATCGGATGCAAACGGGGGAGCAGAAATTGATACATTTGTTTGTTTGGTAATTTACCGGCAACAAATTAGCTGTTCGAAATGTTTCAGTTAAAGAACCTTCCATGATTTAGGGAAGTTTTTTTATTCTTCGCAAAACTATTTTCTGTGCTGCGTTTCCTACGCAAATATAACTTAGAAGCGAGGTTTATAGAAATTCAACAAGATGGAATAAAACTAGCGTGTCTCTTGTTTCCCAAATGCTAACTGCATGATGGTGTAATCGTTTCGCTGGAGGCCATTATCGAAACCGGAACAAGCCAAAATTGCTAGGTTTACGCCGTCAGTGTATTGTTATTTGAACGACCTGTGTGTGTGCGCGCGCATTGAATTAGGTAGTGCAATTTTCGGTCCGTTGCAGTAGACTGCTTTTTGTTCTCGACCTATCAGCTAGAAGGGCCAATTTACTTTATCCAGGACGAACATAGTAATAGTCAATTAATTTCACAATAGTATGTATGCTCACTTGAAAGGTGATGATCATTTTGTCCAGGAACATGTTATCTCTTCTTTTCCCACCCTCAGCTGCATGTAGATCTTCACACCAATTTGCGTATATGGTCTTCACCCAGACTCAGGGCCAAAATGATGATAAAAACCATGCACTACTTGATTCAAATATTTTTTCTATTTCCCAGTCGCAAAGTGAAACTCTCGTACCCTGATAGTCAGATGAGCAAAACTGAGCTGTCTTTATGAATGATTTACTATCATCTAAAAAGGCTGCTTCAACCCATTTCAATTTGTTAAAACATAACTAAATTACTGAGTGATTCATTCTTGTATGCCGATTTCGAATTTAAAATTTAAAAAATTGAATCAAGAATCTACTCAGGGGATAGTATTAGGAAGATCATTGTGGAATCGAGGCAAGTTAATCTCTGCGTTGTTATACAGTTTATACTTTCACTTCAGCTGAAGTATAGATTATAACTACATTCTTGGTAGGAGAAAATTATAAAATATAAAAATAAAAGAATCCGAAAGTTCATCGAGAAATAACCAGCTGACTAGGTTTTGGTGAACGGTACTCAGCTGACCAACACTGGAATTTGTGAACCAGTCTCATGCACGTTAGATGACCTCCATTTATATTTGGGAATAGGCAAACATTCGGTTTGCGCAACGTGTCGAGTCAAAATGAATGCAAAACAGCAGACAGCTATTCGTCAAAGTATCCATAAGTTAGATTTCAGAAATAAGACATTTACAGATTGACTACGTTAGCAACTCTAGACTGCATGTTCCAAGTGGATAAAATGATAAAAAGAATCCGGCACAAATCTCTGTCTCTTTGGTAGTAGTCAGCTTTCAGTGACAAACAGAGAGATACAACAAAGAACATTTAAATGTTTGCGAAAGAATCGTTTTGTAACCTTAGCACCTTTAAAACACGAATATGTGTGCCCTGGATGAGAATGCATAGAATGATATGAGTGAATGGCTATCGACGAAGAGTCCTTCGATAATCGACAAACAAAATGAACCACCACGTCTCGTGATGACCTCAAATAACTGATTGCAATTTCATAGCTTGCCCGTTGCCTCCTTGTTTTTGTCAACTTGTTATCGCACACCAATGTAGAAAAGTGATATTGAATAATGAAGAGCAGTTTTTCTTCTTCTTCAATTGTGTTCTCAACAAAGTAACGTGGGTCAGAAATCATAAGCGGAATGAAAACGCAGCAAATTCCAATCGCTGATCACCAAATGCAATGTTCAGAGGTAAAATTCAGAGCAGTGAGAAATAAGCCAGTATCAGGAATCAGCTTACAGATTAAGGAATATTTGAATGTTTTGTTCAAAAAAGAACTCCTACTTTAGTAACACGTACCAATGGACTATAATCTAGCGTTTGGGCATGAGATTGCCTGTCTTAAAAAATAAATAACCTGAAATGCTTCGAGTCATTTAAATAATCGAGCCACTAATATGAAAAGCAATGAATTATTCATTCTAATTTTCCAATTTCATGCTACCAGCAAATGGAACATTCAAGTGACTGACACATTTCGGCGTATAAAACTTTTCGTTATCAATGATCACATAGCCACATAAACACAAAAGCGGGCGGTGACATCCAACGGAAATCGTTTGTTGCACCATAACCGTATTGTACAAAGATCACTATCCAATACTTCTATGCATTACTTCTTTGTCCATGGATCGTTGAAATCTGTATGTAACAAAGTATACACTAAAGTTGAGATCTTGAAAAGCCCGGAGTAGTCTTGCAAGCGTCGAGGTATTAATGGCTCCAAAATAAAATTTTATGCAGTTTAGTTACCTACTGGCCAGACGTAAACTGTTTTACGTATCAACGAATTTCTGATGCATACAGACAACAACGTATATCAAGGATTGAAACATGTATGAAGCGACAAGATCAATGTGAATTGTGTGTGGATAAACCATGAAATGCAACGGGGGCGGGCAGTAAATAGTCCGGCATGCAAGAAGCGGAAAATTTAGTCATGAATGAAATGGATCAGACAACGGAATCTGTTAGACTTGGAGTTTGTCAGACGAAGGCGTCTGGTTTGAAAATAGTCACCAAGCACAATAATTGGAGACAAAATGAAAAAGGCGGTAAGTAAAATTTACGGATACAAAGCAACCATGCACGTTCTAATGCATCAGAATGAACTCACTTCGAGCAACTCTCTGCAACGTTTTGTATTGTGCATTTCGGTTTCTTTACAGTGATCGACCATCTGTAATGAGGATGAAATGATGAATTCAAAGAAACATAGCACACGTTCATACGTTGATTTCTCTGGAGAATACTGTGAAACAATAAACTGGGGCAAGAATGAACCGTATCAATAATTAATATGGCATTATTCTTTGTTTTTCTCTATCCTCATTACTGGGAAACGTTGCACATGGTTAAACTTAAGACTGGGCAAACGTTGATCGAATCAAATGACTTATTTTCATAATAAACTTTAGGTTGCAACTCATAATAAGCTCTTATAAACATGCTCAAAATCTTTCATGTTTGACCATCAGAAAAAGAGAAAAACATAGTTTAGGACCTGATTATTTACCCACTAAAATGCACTAAAAATGTATTAATTAGCTCAATATAGGTAAAATGAATCAGTAGTCCGGCCTCGTTTCGAACGACTAAGCTCCCTGTTTAGTTTATATAGTTTTTTTTCATAATGACACAGGTTTTTGAATGGCTAATCCAGTAGTGACTTAACAATACCGTGGAGAAATCCGATATTCCTGTAGAAACCATCTGAGGGTAGGGGCACATCCACAATGACAGGTTGAAAGTGGATAAGGTCTCACGAGCTATTTAAAACTTACGCGTAAACAGAAAGTATGATAAAAAGTGTCTCTAAGCAGCAAACTTCTATATTCCTCTTCGCGTTTCAGTATTTATGTAGTACTGAATTCAGAAAGACTTATCTATTGTTGTTGTTGTTGTTCGATTACTAGGTGGTGCAGAAACAGGTTACATCAAGTGAACCGAACTTAGTTCCACCAGTAAACTCCAAATTCGGCTTACCATTCGAGCCAGACTGAGTGTTTGCGTCTTCATGGGTGCTCCATTCTAAATAAGAGTTGGAAAAAATAACGTCAGTGCTCTTACAAACTAAGTTTGAAAATTTTGCAACCACTGCATCGAAATCAACTACAGTTAAATGGAAACTTACCACGGAATTTAAATTGGTTTCAAATGCTTGGAAATGTTTCACAATGGCTCTGCACGCCTCGTTTTCTGTGAACAAACAAAAAGCGGTGTGTGATCATATGAATACGTTGATATATTGTATCATATCATGTCAGTGATATCTTTGATGGTAACTCCAATAATATGCACACAGTTTGAACTCATTGTGGTATGAAAATATTTTAAGCAACGATTCCGGTGTGTTACAAGTTTACTAGTCTATGACATCAGTAACAAATTATTAAAAAAACCAATACACAAAACGGAATAGAAATCCGAATGGAAAAAAATACTGTTCTGAAACCATCTCACTGCATACCGCTGCTGTCAGTGATCCAGGTTGTATAGTACATCAGATGACTTCAGAAGGTGATTTTTTTTAGAAAATAGGACAGTGTTTTTACAAAATGAAGCAATATGTTCAACCAGTTTTCAGAACACTGCTGTCCGTGAAATTGAATACTCTGTATTTTTAGCATATTAGATCAATAATGATGTGGCCAACTCGATGTGAGCGTTAGATTTTTCGTTGTGACACTTCTGGTAAACAAAATTATAAATGTTTTTAGTCGACGAATATTTGACAAAAACTATCACAGACGGTTTTTTCTAGTGATTTATTGGTGTCAATCTGCAATATACCGGCAGTTGGAATAAGTTGTTCTCTAAAAACTGAATAACTGTAAAGTCCTCCTATGCATTCACAGCTGAACGATATTCAAAGAATGAAAGAATGGCCTCGTCGGTCCATTAAGGCGATAGAACAAAGGAGTACTTTTGCGCTATGCAACGGATCATATGTTAATCCTATCACATGATTTTGGACTTCTAACGAACGCTGATAAGTTTTCTTTTTTTCCGAATTACTCTAAGATTCGTATGTGAACTCAGTGAATGAATGACTGCTTAACATGACCAAAACTGTTACCCCTGAACAGTCATCGATTTCAGATACAATATAGAAACAGTTTCTGACCAAAGACGACATAAAACAACTCTGACCTGACAGATGTATATCACCGATGTTTAAATGAATGAAAATAGAAATTCAGTTGATTCAGCACTCCGATTTTCTCAAGAAATCTATCAGAAATGTTTGATCGAGAAAACTAAACAGTTGTGATATGATTGCTTTTACAATTAAAAATCTATATGTGGTGGACTAACAGTGCAATACAAACGCATTTCGGAAGGAAACGGCAAACAAGCAAGTCAGCGGATAGGATAAAACCTGAAAATTACCCGAATGTTGTGTACTGCACAGCTGATGAGGTAATACAAAGCGGTACAGCTTTCCGAATCGATAGCTGGTGCAATCGAACAGTAGGACTGTTTTAACCTAGCTTCAAACAAAGTTACATCATAAAATTTCAAAACGGTTGAGGAGTGGTGCAATAAAATGGGCTAGAGGGACAAATTGACAAATAGGGATGACAAGTGCAATTCATTTACCTGCATAAGCACGTTTTTCCAATCCGAGCACCAAGTCTTTGCAGGATTTGCACCACAATTTGCTGTAGTTAAAGGCAAAATCAATCGCATTTTTATCTTTGCGTGATAGAAGCTTGTCCTCCTCGGATACGCCGTGACCTGAAACGCCAGAACGCGGAAAGGAAAGTATGACTCGCATGACTAGATCGAGTAATTGTGATTCTAACGGCATTTCTCTCACACTTGTCGAGAACGGAAGTGATTTCATTCACCGTAACGGAATCCCACCATACACACACAGAGACCACACACATTCGAACTCGGTCGCATTCATTGGCAGTGTAAACAAAATGCCCAACATATCTATAATTTTCTGTTCGACATGCAAGTTTCTGTTAAAACTCCATTGTGAATCACAATATTAATCATACACTCTATTATTCGCCCGTGAAGTCATTCATAATCCTTTTGTCTTCATTTTTCTTGAGAGAAAGAAATTTCATTATCAAAAAGTTTATGAGGCCAGCTCATGCTTCAGCTTTATTGTTTGATTGACTTCATTTCTAGTCTCTTTTGCACAGAGAAAAGGTGGGTCTTATTTATATACTGTGTTCTTATTAAGTATAAATTTAAAATTGCTAGAAAAGATAAAGTTTTCACCAAATAACTTATTGTTGAATTCACGCAATAAATTATATTGAATTGAAAACCAATAGCCTGTCTTAATAGAATGGGTTAAAAAGTATTCTTGAAATGAATGTCTCACAGCTGGAACAAATTTACTGTTCTAGTGCTGACATATTTCATAGTCACAACGGCCCGCATGATATTGAATAGACAAACTGAAACCTAGTATACACCATATGATTATTATTGTAATAATATTTGCCATGAAATAATCTACAACAAAGTTGGATTCCAAATTTTAAAAATAGTCATTTCTTGGCTGGATTGAGAGGTGTAGTGGGGGAAAACCAAGTCGGCTGCACTCATCAGATGGATAGGACCAGCGGCCTTATAACTATGGTTGCTTCAGCCAGAATGGTTGGCTTCATGTTGTCACACACACACACTAACACATTTGCTCACTATTTTTAAACATCAGGAATGCGTGACTATGACCAAACAGTAATCAGATAACCTTGGGGACCGTATCCGTCGAACAGCCGATCTTCA